CAGCTCTTCTGTCAGCTAGCGTGCTGCAGTGTTTCAAGTCTTTGGAGGATAGTACGAACGTAGATATGTTTGTGAGGAAGGGAGTGTTTGCTGTTGGCGGTTCGTCTAAATACCAAATATTTTGCAAAAATGGGACTGCAACTACGTTGCAGACCCGTCTACATGAACACAAACTCGCGGCTAGACCTAAACTCACAGCTTGTAACTGGTCATATCTTCGATATTCAAGGAGCGCCCATCTTACGTCGAGGCACCTCGACAACAAAAAGACTGACGCTTGAGGCATGGTAGTTAGGTGCCAACTTCGACAATGGGCATGTAGACCTTCCTGTGGCCTAGAAAGTCCTGCGCCACTGACCGAGACAAGGTCAGACCGAAATTAATAAATGCGAGCGAAGATGGCAAACGCAATCGAGGAAGCAAGATTACCAACACCCTCCACCGTTTTGACGAAACGCAACACCACTGGCCGTCAAATATCCATACGAGCTCCGATGCAGCAAACGAGAAAAGAAAACGGATCAGCCCAAGGCTGACAAACTCAGCCAGACATTCAAATCACTGGTCAATACGGACAGTCGTCACTTTTTGACAATGAAGAGCCGGCTAAGCTCTTCGAAACGTCAGCACGAAACAAGAGCTTTCCGCCGAGTAACATTATGCTTTCAGATTTCCATCCCGGAACTCTCCTTTTTGCGAACTTCAACAGTACTTTTCCTCGGTCTCCTCTTATAAGTAGCTGCTATATTCCTTTTTACTTACTGGATCAGAATCCGGTGCGCTTTTCTCACCCCTTGACGTTACCTGAGGTTTTCGAAGTATACGCGCCTGGCATCCTGAGTCGCCTGCTCTACCTGTTGTAACGGTAGCCAAGGCCGAGATGTCACCGTCTAATTACGCCTCGTGTGAGTCCCTCAAGGAGGAACACGACCGGAAGACGGCAAAAGCAAAAGTCTTTGAGTGTAACTAGTACAACATATTTAGGGCAACAAACGAATTTAAAACTGTGTTCATCGGACCAATCAGCTTCTGTCTTAGCTTGGCTGCCGGCACGGTTCGCTGTGACTCAGCTTCTGATATTCAGCCTAAAATTTGAATGATTGATTGATTTGACTGCGAGTTGCGTACGTCATGTGTAAGCCGATCGATAGCCTGCTGTGAGCGCGGCCGCTTGCTTCATGCTATCTGCCTGTTAGGCGTCTCCTAACACTACCGACCATCCTATTTTTACATCTGAAAACTCCAGTTGACGCGTGTTTACGTGGGAAGATA